TAGCCATCAAAGCTGAAGGCGTTGATCGCATCGATACAGGTATGGCAAGTGTGGTTGCGAGTCGTATAATTTACCAGCTACCAGTAGACATGGTCCTAGGAAGCGCTCCTGTACTGGATATCTGACATGAATCTACAAAATGCAACACGACCATATTGCACGGCTAGGAGGTAAACCTAAAAGAGGTTGTCATGATAATGTTTATAGACACTGACTTATCATGGATGCCTGTACCAATTATGATTAAGACAATGGACAGTAGCCAAAAATAAACTCAATCTTAGTATTTCAAGATATGAGACCATTTCACACGTGGGCATCAGGAAGACTAAGATATACACAAATCAACATACAACCGTTGTATTATTAGTATTACTATCTCTCCTCCCCGGGTATCGAACGAAACAGCGAATGCAGTATACTAAGTTAGAGCCTTGATGTCATGTTTTTCTTCTTTTTTTTTTTGACGAACATCATCGGATTTGTCCATAGACAATAAAACAAACAATATGGAAAGTGGTATCAACGAAAGCAGTCTTGACAGGGTATCTTTGGTATCTTGTGAAGAAATGCGGAAACCTTCCATTCCCACCCTTTCATAAGAGAAAAGTTGTTTTTTGCTCATTTCCTTCAAGGTTTCTTCAAGTCGTAGCCATCACGTCCGCATGCCCTCTAGGCAGCAGCAGTGACAGCGGGAGTGGCAGTGGCGACATTCTCAGGTTTACTCTCAGCTTCGGTCTCAGCAGCCTTGGCGGGCTCAGCAGCGGAGGTAGCGGCGGGCTCTTCAGTGGTAGCCGCAGCCTCAGCAGTGGTGGCCTCTTCCTTGACTGCCTCCTCAGCAGGCTTCTCCTCAGTCTTTGCACCAGACTTGCCCTTGATGGTGGCGCGGAGCTTGGAGAAAGCACTAATGCCGCTCTTTTCGGCCTTTTCCTCACCCTCGGCAGGCGAAGGAGACTTCTCACGCTTGCCAAAGTTGAAAGGAAGAGAAGACTTTCGCTTCTCCTTGATATCCTTCTTGGCAGTTTCGGCACCGTTGGTAGCGGCAGCCTCTGTGTTTTCGACTGCGGCGTTAGACTCTTGGAAAAGAGGAGCATTAGATGCCACAGGAGGAATCACTGGAGCGGCTGTATCAGCGGCAGGCTCGCTGTCATGTTGAACAGCACTCTCAGCAGGCTTATCGGCGACCTTCTTTTCTTTCTTTCCGAAGACGTTGCCAAAGATGCTGTTGCGTTTAGAAATAGCTGGCTTTTCTTCTGTAGCAGCGGCGGCCTCTCCCTCGACAGCTGGGGTTTCCTCCGTCTTGGGAGCATCGGCCTCAACGGCGGCCTCAGCGGCCTCAGGGGCAACGACCTCTTCAGCCTTTGACTCTTCCTTCTTCTCCTTTGTAGATTCCTTCTTCCCGAATCCGAAGATGGAAGCGCGCTTGCGGCTTGCAGAGCGACGCTTGGGCTCCTCGGCAGGCTTGTCCTCAGTGGCGGCGACAGCTTCACCCTCAGCGGGGGAAGCTTCTTCGGGCTTTGCGGCTTCCTCAGCCTTGGCTCCCTCCTCGGGCTTCTCCTCCTTGGGAGCAGCGGCCTTGGGCTTGAAGCTCTCAAGCGCATTCTTGTAAGCCTCAGATTCGGTTACAGAAGCAACCAGCTCCTTGGCCTCGGCGATCTTGGCTTTGAGTTGGGCAACCCAATTGTCACGCTCGGCTGTAGTGACAGCCTTGAAGCTGTGTTTATTGCCCTTGTGGGTGAAGTGGAATTTGTTGGAGCCATCAGTTTCAGGTTCAGTGGTGTCGGCCTGGTCCCTGGGTTAGCATTCTGGGGGGCGCTTCGTCCATCTTCATCAAACCACATACCAAATTGATGACATTAGATGGCGCCTTCTTATCACCAATGAACAAGAGACCTTTACCAGTGTGGGAAGCCCAAGAAATGTTGTGGTGAGCGTGCTCAATGTTCTTCTCGCCCTTCAAATAGGAAGACAGGGCCTTGGGCTCGAAAGAGTCAGACCCGAAAAAGAAAAACTCCTTGGTCGGAATGAGGTTTCTAAACAATGTTAGAACGGGTCTTCTCCCGAAGCTCACTCAAACAGAGCTTCACACGAGCTCTGCAACTTACTTCGGGAAGCTGGCACCCTGAGCCTTGTGTCCCAGGTGTCCTTCCTCAACAGGCTTCACCTCCTCGGCAGGCTTGTCGTCCGTCTTGACCCCCGTCTCTTCCGCGGGCTTAGTTTCTTCGGCGGGCTTATCCTCGACAACAGCAGCGGGAGCAGCCTCGGCGGTTTCAATAGCAGGGGCGGGAGCGGTCTCCTCCTTGGGGAGCTCGACAACGGGCTTCTGTTCCTCGGCCATTCTGGATGATTAAAAAAAAAGGGGGGTATCTCAAGTGGATGGGTATCACAACAAACAAAGACGAGATGGTATAAAAGGAAAATGGATCCAGAAAGCAGCTTTTGGGGTACAGCAGTTGATGGAGTACAAGCTGAGATGTGGCAGAAGAAAGAGAAGAAGAGAGGGCAAATTTGGACGAGGGACAGGTTGGGGTACTTATTTGGTCGAGAAAGTCAGGTCAAAGAAGGTTGAGGAGTCAACCGTGAAGGGAAGGGGGCGTGCGCAAAAGAGGGCCGAGAGGGCTGAGGTACGTGAGGGACGCGAAAAGGTGGGTTGAAGGGGGCCCGGTTTTGCTCAGTTCACGGCGAGGGTGAGAACAATAAGAAACAAGTGGAACCGATGCTTCCCGGGCGAGCTTGAAGGAGGCGTCCAACATCTCAAGAGCTCCAGAACGCTGGCACAAACGAGACATACTTGCAGAGGTTTCCCAGCGGTCATTCGAGGCACCAGTACGCCGTACACACTCTACCAATCCAGTCCTTTTTATTGTCAGTGTTTCATTGTTCAAATATTTGCAGCCTTAGGTGCCTGCCTGCCCGTTGATGCACATACAGTGGCATCGACGCTCGACTTGAGGATTTGATACCAAGGCGAAATGACAAGAGGCCCCGGTCAAGCCTCTGTTGGAGCAGTTCGAGGGGCGATGATCGAGGGGCGAACCACGCTGATATTGGCGTGATGCTACGGAGTACGTACTCCATACTTGGTGCTTGATTTTGATCATGGTGGCCCATGATGGCCCATGGCTGATCAGCTTCATTCAACCACCCTTCCGTCATTCGTCGCCATCCGCCACTCACCACCCGCTCAGACAGCCAGTCCAATGCACATCCAATCCACTCGAGCAGGGCAAAACCATGGGCGATATGTATTTCCATTTACAAGGAGCCCAGAATAGGAGTGCTATCTAGTACCTAACACTGATAAGGCGGTCAGACATGGGCCATGGGCGTTGCTTCACCCCAGAGCCGCCGGCTGATCATCAAGGGATTCGCGCTTCATTACCGACTCCCAACCAAAGCAATTCACTGTGACTACTTGCGACTTACGACCTATTGGATGTCCAGCAAACCTTTTTACCACCTCTAGCACTTGCAGCCTTTTGTCGCCCCAACATGGCGTTGCGGCCGACGATGCAAATTGTACGTTTGAGTCACTACATGATTTCGGCTCCTCCCCACTCGCAATATAATTGTTGTATACAGTACAATACGGAGCACGGAGTAGGAAGGCCTTGCTCCTATACAACAGCGGACGTGGCAATGAACCTGGCAGTCCCTGGTAATTGGCTACGTGCCTGATGGCCTTAATACTACCATTCTCACGAAGCGAATCGACGAGCATGTCATGCTATAATTATTACAAGCGTTGGAGTGTGCACCAAATGTCTGTTGCAACTCCATGGGCAGCTCATCTCGGTCAGCCTTTGGCTATGGATCAAGCAAATTTCGCCCACTAAACCAGGGCGTGTATCAGGCAAGGCAAGCCATGCCAATTGAGCAAACACCAGGCTACTTCCCGGAGAACGGAGTACTACTAATAGTACGGAGTACTGGCTGCACAAAGGGCTTCCGTATCAGAACCGGTGCACGCATGCTCTGCAAGGACACCGACATTGTCTGCAGAGTGCCTGTCGTGGACGCACGGCGCACGTTTTTGAACTGCAGGCTCAAACGCCCTCCCTTTTTTCCATTCCAGCTACGGAGTAGTACTAGTACTCCGTACGAAGCACAGCGTACATGCGGAGAGCAGAATAATGGCACGGGAGTACTCCGTACGGAGGAACCCTTGCCGTATCGCAGTTTTATTGCTTCTCGTCTCGTTCCTGGCGTACATACAGTACGAAATAGCTTGCGTCGCGTCGACGTGCGGATGCTCTTGCCTGCCCTTGAATTGCGCCTTGGAACCCCCACCCGTTTGAGCATGTGCAATGTTGTTTTTGGTGCTAAATTTCCCTTTTACATGGTCATCCCAAGGTTTCCCGTCCAACTGCTCGCCCATCAGTCCATTTGCTCTCTCTCGTTCGACGTGCCAGGTGCATCGGCCCCATCAGGCCCATCCGGTCCATCCCTTCCAACAAAGCTCAGTGCCAAGCTTCAGTAGCCCAGAGTCTTGAGCTTGACTTTGGCCCGAACGGAGTGTACCCGCGGCCGGTGTGCAAGTGCCTATGTACAATGTACACTTGTAAACATTACTCCGTACTGTACGGAGTAGTAGTAATTGATCGTGCATGGCCAAGTGCTCCGTACCTTGCCATCGTGTTATTACTTAGGCTGTCAGGGTGTTAGGGTATCGGGGTGTCAGGTCCCTGTGCCCGCCCCGTGCTTTAAGCGAAGTGGGACGAAATTGCGGGTCCATCGACACACCTGCGCTAGACCACCAGTTCAGGTGGCCAAAAATGCTGCACCACCAGTCGACAACCGGGCAGTTGGCGTTTGTGAGAAAGCGATGGAACAGTCACCAGCCAAAAATGGATGCCATCTCGTAAGTGATTACATTTTCTCTTCACCATGTTGAACCTGAGCGAATGCGCTGACTTACCGTGCGGACAACACGCAACATCGCAACCCGGCGTAGCGGCCGGACTTTCCTCTAGGCCGACGAAGCAAAAAAAAAATCAAAAATGTCCGCCACCATCATGAATAGTCTCGGATATCATGTTCACCGATACCAGGGGTTCCAGGCCTCTGAGCCTCTGAGCCGAGCCGCTCCTGTGGCCCAGCGCAGCGCAGAGCAGAGCAGAGCAGAGCAGAGCATTCAATCTACTCCGTATTACAACGCCATTCCAACAGCGCCTGTGGCTTGTCAATACGCCGTACAACAGGCCTGAGGATCAGCTGCCGGTTCCAGACACCGACTTGACCCTTCTCACCAGCGTTGCAACATTCACACACAACCCCCCTTGCCATGAAACACCAAGCCAGGTCAAGGGCGAACGGCTTCGAGATGGCTTTTGCTCAACTGAACCACACCGTCCGGAGATTTGGCTCTGACCGCCATGCTGTCTGTACCTGATTTAATGAATTGGTGCCGCTCGTCACGTCTACATAACTTGATTACACTCCTTTGCCATGGCACAAATCCTTCGTCGCTGCCGGGGCATTAGCAACACGTCTTTTGAATACAGAGTAGCGCTCCTCCGTTCTCAGCCAGGCTCACAACAGCCAATGGCACCTTGTGTTTCATACAATATACTATGTACGTACATAGATACGAAACACAGTCTTGCCGGTATTTTTTTGTCAAGGCATCAAGGCCATCTGCACATTGTACTCCATACATACATACATACATACAATCTAGCGTGCAGGGGCCCCTGACTCCACGTCCTGGCAACCAAGCCGCAGAAATGGCCCATCGAATTTCAACCTGGATCTCCTTGTGGATCATCCATTTAAGTTGTATTAGGACCGTCAAAGAAGGAAAGAAATTTTTGCGATTACGCGATCCAGGGGAAATGCCAGCCAGGCCGACATTCACTACTACTAGTAGTATTACTTGGAGCCTCCCCTCGTGTTGAAACGGTGGCCAGGGGGGAACCGTATGCATTCATGAATCCTCCCGTCTTGCCGCCTTATTTGTGGTAGGACAGGACCTCAGTTGGACGGCTGAAGACGTGCGTTGCCCTGACGTTGACGCTCATCAAACTTGTCACGGGTCATGCTGCAGCGGGAACGTCATATCCACACCTGCAAACACGAGATGGTGGTCGTACCCACTCAAACTACTCCCACTGATGCATTACCAGGTCTCTTCATACTTTCTCATGCAGCAGTGTAGGTTACCGCGGCGGCCAATTATGGAATCCCACAGCACTGGCGCTTCAGTCAACCACCTTGGCATCCACTCAAGTACCGACCTTCCTTGATGCCGGCCAAGCCGTTCTCGGCCTGCAGAGCTCCCTGGCATCGACAAGGCGCCATCACACTTGCCGACATGTTACAGAGGTACGGAGTATAATGCGTTGGCGACAAGTCGCCCATCAGTCTGTCAAGTGCCATGTTGCGCAATGCTCTGCTCCACCCTTTGTAACAACATGATGGTGGTTCCTGATGACGGTGGGCTCACATCTGCATGGAATGACGTTCCTCTGTCTGTTATATGCCTACGATGGCTCGACCCGAATAGTAGAACCCATATCCATAGGCTTCGATTCGAGGATTGGATAACACCTGAGAGACGGTGCTTCTGTTCAACAACGGATAGTTGAGGCGCTTTCTTTGGCTACAAGCAATGAGCCAGCGACGCCATGATCTGCCTGCTCACACCACCAGCTGCAGACATGAAGCCCAGATTGCAGGAGAACAACCAGGCGGCCAAGCCCACTCGCATTGTCGGTCACCAGAGCCCATGTGACTCAACCCGTTTAGCGCAACATTGTGCTAGTATTTCATTTACGTGCGACCTGGCGGAACCCAAATACCAAAAAGACGGGCGACAACTACTATCGGCCGGCGCTCAGACACAGCGTGTCAAGGGGAGGCGCATCCTAATGCTTCTCTCCCCGAGCCGAGACAGTTGGCGCGAATGCCGCTGCCATTTATTACGTTGACCCCTTCGGGCTTCCACTCATCATGTATCTGGTGCCTTGGTTTGCGGGCAGCGACATGCATCCCTTGATCCAGGTTACCGCCAAAGCACAACAATTAGAAGATCCAGCTCCGCTACTTTCCTCTTCCTGCTTGTTTGTATTCCTTGCATGATTTCGACGCCACGAGATGGAGGTCGGCTGGATAATGTACCCAGAGCCTCGCATAAATTCTTGGTTAAAGACCTCATGATGACTTCTCAGACAGTGCTAGAGCAACGCATGCTTCACCAATGAGGATAGACCGTCCCGAAGTCCAGACACAGGTATTCAGCCAGCTGAAGATTGGAAGCGTCCCCCGAACAGCCCAAAAGGTAATTCAGGCAGTGCCTTGCTCAATGTGGAGTGGGGAGCATCAGTTATGTATGTCGGGTCTTTGAGCGTGGCTACCCGCCACCCTTCGAGTCAACATCAAACATGGAATTTTTATTGTGAAGATAGGCCATCGACCTGGATGAGCGGGGCTGTTGCTGTTCCCTTTTCTGGCTTCAATTTGGCCTCTGAAGCATGGCGTCTCCCTTTCTTAGGGGCCTGTACTGAGACATTGGAACGCACGTTAAAGAATCATGGATTATTCGCAGTATTCCAGCGGCCGAAATTCTGCCAGACGCTTAAAGGAATCTAGTAAGAGAATATAACGTTTCGTGCTTGCTTCAACACGTGTGCGGCTACGGATCGTTTGGAAAGTGAGAATGATACCAGCATACGCCTTCATGGCAAGTTCGACCTTTGGCACCACCGAACTTGATCTCATCCTGCCAAAGCACGCCGCTCAGTTACAGACAATAAACGATCATGATTGATACACCGGACTGCATCTGTGTATTGGCAGCGCGGGTAGTCCCTGATGATGCCGCCCCCAAACCGCGACCCTATACACGATTATATAAGGCACCAAACTGGCGCGCTATCGGCCAAGTACAGCGGGCGAAGCTTATCTACGGGAATAAGCTAGGATACAAAAGGCATAGCCTTGAGGGTATGCGATATTGGCAATATTATGACATTTTTGGGCTTGGTGTCGAGGTGTTGCGACAGAGTTGCTGGGGATCGACCGATGATGGTACAGTTTGTCATGTCACAGGAACACTTGAACCTTGTCAAACACACCACCAAGAGCATCCAAATTGGCGCGCCACACACAACCTTACCCACCACTACAGATGCGTCAGGTCAGAGTGGGGGGCCAGACGAGAATAATACCAAAAAGCGACAAAACGACTACTACTCGGACTGGTTTGCGAGATTCGTTGCTCCGTACCCGTATTGGTAAGGCGACCGCCGTTTGGGCGATTGGTTGCGAGGAAAACGACGTCATACTAGGCCAGCAAGGATATCACCTGCATATGTAATGCATATACAAGCATCTCACGTCACAGCACTCCAATCATGACTCTTGACCCTAGACTCCGTATCGGTCTTCGTTTGACGGCGGCGGGGAAAACGTGGCAGAAACGTCTTGATTTTTCCAAGTCGGGCCCAGAGGAAGGAATGCTTACTATGTTTTAGGGTGCTTCTACGACACGTGGCTACCCTCGAATTGCATGACCGAGTCACGGAAAGGCGCAAGACCCGAAAGCAAAGAACAAAGGGCCGTCCTCTGTGTCATTGGGAAGATTAGCCCGGAGTCGCCATCGATTAGTAGTTGGTTACGCCGAAAACTGTCCGGCCTCTTATGTTGATGCAATCCGCACGGGCTTGTGGAGGCGGTCACACCTCGTGGATGAGATCTTTTCATCTGAGACAAACGTGCTATTCCAAGGTGAGAAGGTTTTCATTGGGTACCGAATTGCCGAGAGGAACGACATTACATCATCACCTTTTGCTCATGGCCATTCATCTATGGTTAGGGTATCGACTATCAGTCTACATGGCGGGAACAGTATAGGGTAGCTTCCGTGTAAAGGAAGTTGAATTGTACTGAATGCAAGTTTTTTTTTTTTTTTGCCTGTTTTCTTTTCAATAAAAAATTAGTAGGAAATAGCGTGGTCTTGTGTTGCTGAATGGATCAATCTCATTATTCCATACTCTTCGAATGGCTATACATATTCCATCCACAGTACCAATGACTTCCCGCGGCTATCAGAGGGGCTGCTAACAAGATGTATATGCACGACCTTGCCACGTGCCTTCAACACGAGCTCCCATAACAGAGCCATTTTAAATGAATATGACTTCATTGTTCTCAAAGTGGGCAGGTGTGAAAATAAGACGAATTCGTGCCAGCTGGAAATCTCTTAGCTTCTCGGCTCTGTCGACCGCTAATGCTTTTGAACACGCTCCGGCACCTGTAGTGCTCGCAACCAATGAACCACCGGCTCCTGGAAGTTCTTTAAATTTATATTGAAAGACGAATTTGGATGCACTTGTATTTCTCGGCCCTCATATTGCCACGGGCATAAATGTAGCATGCATATTCTCTAATAGGGATGGTTATTGGCCAAAACATAGACACGACGTGAGGCGTCGCAGTCAACCCATCGTCTACACATTATCACGACGAATTAAAATAGCTTGCACCCGTATTATGGATATAACCATTAAGGCTGGCAGTGACGGTCCTCTTTACAGTGGTTTGGGACGCCGTCTTGGGAATCCTGCACAAGTGGCTGGAGTAGAAGCACCAAGACAGACCAAACACGGAATACATGCATGGCTTTTCCTCACATCAAGTCGGACTGGGCGATGTACTCGGCTCCTTATTCAAGGTAAGAGACCAAGTTGATGGTTATGTTTCTCAGAAGCCACGAAACCGTCCTCCTCATAGCCTCCTCCTAGCCTCCTCCTAGATGAAAACTAGACCTGGCAAGACTTGCTCGAGCAGAACCACTGCTGGCTAATTATCTAGTCTCCGTACGGCCTCGTGGCAGCCTGGCATCTAAAAAAAAAAAATTTCAACTTCCTTTGTATGCATCCATAGTCGTGAGTGACTCACAGCCGGCCTAATCTTTAATCTTGGACGGAAAGTTAAGCACTCTGCTTGCAAGAGCATTTAATAGTCCCTTCCTCCACGACAGAACTTCGCCCTTTTCTCTTCTTTAACATTCTACGTTCCTAAATCCATCTTTAATCATTTCACCCCTTCTCTTTAACATTTTACATTCTTTAATACATCTTAAAGCATCCGAGTTGATCTTGTCGGTTCTTTTTGTTGCGGTTGGCTTCTAGAAAACCCCCGAAGCTAGTCCAGCTTTCTTAAGGAGCAACACCTCGACATAATTCAGGGAAGGCAAGACCCTCGA